ATGTAGGTGGCACCAGAGCAACTGGTGCGAGACTGGTGGAACTCGTCCAACACGCCCATTCTCTGCCCCTCGGTCGCCTGCGGCTGAAATAGAGGAAGGTCCTCATCAGGGGCGAAATCGGAGGTTCCTTTTTCTTTCTTTTTCTATTCCAGACCACCTCTAACCTCCAGATTCATTACTGAACGGTCTCACACAGTCATGTTTATTTCGAAGTTTGCCTTTAAGGGTGAGATTCAAAGAAGTCGTTTAAAATAAGAAGGCAGCGAGGTTTGTTGAAGCTGCACGTCCAAGAATTTATTCAAGAACGCAATATAAATATACGAATATGAAATCTACATGGGATAATCTTGTTGTTGTGTTGTACTGAACCATTAAAACAGAAGCAGTGGAAAACGATGCGGGAAAGAAGCCCTCACTCACTTCCTCTCGGCTTTGAATGGATCTTCTGGATGGCCAATCATACTGGAACACAAAACATTCAGGCAGAATCAACAAGACCAAAAGTGCTGTTTTAAAGCTGTAACCTAGAGTGAGCAACTTAAGAATGCAATTTTGAACACCAGTTAGCCATAAGCCATCTTGAACATGCATTTAAATGCCTATTTAATCCAAGACAAAAGTTGGAAGCATGTCGCATCTTAGAGGCACTTAAAACTCAGTGGACGCGACCACTGGAAAGCGGGGCGGTTGGTGACGTCGTTGAGAGACATTGGCGGAAGGATGCTAGGGTGCAGAACTTCTCACAACCGTTAGCAAGCTTACAAGGGAGGTCGTTCAGGGTGTGCCAAGCTTTTTCAAAACGGTTTCTTGCATGATATTGGGGCACATATGGGGAACCACAGAACCATGGTTCATTTTTCCTGAACGGCCCTCTGAATACCAGAAAAGGGGTCCCTAGTTCGATTCCTCGTGGTGACAAATTTTTGCATTTCGAGTTGACGTTTCAAAATTCGCGCAAAATGGAGTTAGCATGAATAATTAGTACCATATTCATGATTAGGACCGTCAGTAACCCTTACAAATAGACTTTGATTGAAAAACTGGTGAAAAGGTGTGACTAGGGACCCCCTTTTCTGGTATTCAGAGGGCCGTTCAGGAAAAATTAACCATGGTTCTGTGGTTCCCGCATGTGCCCCTATATCATGCAAAAGACCGTTTTGAAAAAGCTTTGGCACACCCTGAAAGACCTTCCTTGTTAGCTTTGCCCAACCAAGTCTGAAGTTGTCAAAACGCTCGCCCCCCCCCTCCCCCACTAGCCCTCGTTTCACTACTCTTAATGACAATCTCAATTAAACGGACGTGAGACTCTACAAATCGTCCCGTGAAGAGTCTCTGGCGATTTTTGTTGATTCGAGCAGTTTGATTTCGTCTTTGGTCAACGCGAAGTCGAATACCTGCAAGATAAACCATTTTTGGATGAAGACATACGTGGACAAAAAACCAACCTGGAAGTTTTCAACCACTCTAGCAGGCTTCACAGATTTCGGGATGATGGCAATGCCTCGATCCATCACATAGCGCAGCAAAATCTGAACATGTAGAAGTTTACGTTGTTGATAAGCACGATGTGCGCGAAGAGCTGTCTGTCTGTGGAAGACAGGCACTTTTGTGGTCCTCTGCACCAAACTTTAGGGAGTACAGGTCATCGATGAGATGAGGCAAGCTTCCGAGAGGAGCATAACAAAATCGACAGACTGACATTGATTGAGCTCAGATTGGGGTCGTGATTATTCGAAGATCGTTGGCCGATGATAGCTAGCTAAATGTGCTCCCTGGGAGCGAGTAGTACATGTTTCGCAGAATTAGCCGAAGACGCTTTAATTGGAGAACCATGCCTGAGCGCCGAAGGCTCAAAGCCGAGTGGCATTCTTGTGTTTCGCGGTTCTTGTAAATCAACAAATGACAGCTGCTGGCGAAATTTTTGGCCTGCATTCGTGTTTCGAGATATAGCAGTTTTCAGATACCAAAGTGAGACTTTTCGAAGTATGACGATTTTTCACCGATTTTCTGTAGTTCGAGGTCATTTTAAAGCCGTGGGTCGGGATTGGTGCCATGAAGTAGTACTTCCTAGAGAGACAAAGAGGAGCCCCCAAGTCCAGGAGCTGCGACGCTGCCGCGAACTCACTTGTCAGAAGCACAGGCACGGGCGCTGAGGCCTTTCCTCAAACACTGATGGCGCTTCCACTCTATCAACGGTGGCATACGTAGCGTTTGTTCCTCTCGCGTACGACGTACTCTCGCGTTCTCCCTCTCCTCGCAGCGCTGTGTCTCTCCGTCATACCACGGCCGGCCTCACAAGGAAATTTCATTGTTCTATGGTGCTTTTTGCTTTTTCTCCTCACCCACTTTCCTCATCGCACTTCTTATCTGCAATATGACGCACCAACTCTATCCTGTCTCGTCATTTTAAGGGTGTACCCATGGTTTTCCAAAGGCCTAGAACAGGTACAATCAAGCTCGAAGAAAATGATGGTAACGAACCTGAGCAGGAGTTTTATTGTACTTCTTGGCCAGCTGCTTCACATTCGGATCTTCCAGGTCCTTTGGAGCTTCCTTCCAACCGAATTTGCTGTAAATATTTACACTTCATGAATAGTTTGTATGGGAGTTAAGTGTTTAGGACCTCCTCAGGCGAACAGATGAAACTTTTAAGGAATGAGTGTGACTTCTGAAAAGCGAGCGTCACCGAATTTGTGGAAGGGCTGGAGGGGAAGCGCGTTATCTCTCAAGAAAGGCCTGTTTTCAGCCATCGGTATAAACGCCGATTCTTGAAGCATAGGGAATTGGGAAGTTTTTCTTATCTATTGACTACATACACCCCTTTCCAACTTGAGGGAATTTTCGGAAGTTCAAGGAAGGATGTTGACGGCATGGGAACAGCGATGGTCGTATTTGAATACTCCCCACGATGTCATGTTGGAACTTGGCCTCGAAGCAAACTTAGTTGTCAATGGGACACACGGCTCGAAGACATCGTCCACCGACACGCAACGAGACAAATTATAAGAATGTGGTCCTTCTTTGAAGAGCGTAGCCGATATTCTTTTTAACATAGCGCTGCAGAATGTAAGTGGGTAATGAGGGCGTGCACAGTCCATGGGGGAGCGATCATACTTTGCGACCCTTGTATTCCGCTTCCAGTCGGAGTATAGAAAGAATACTTATCGACAAAGCAAACGCTGACGCCGCGACGCGCCTGCAACGCGCAGCGGACTGTCCACGGCGAGGTGAAGTGGGCCGCATCTCCGTCTAGTCTGGTACCGACACCCTGGATTCTTGTACACTGCGTCCCATAATTATACGTCCACCTAAGAATTTCCCAAAATCTCACAAATATAGATGTTTCGAAAAAAGTCTCCTAATGTGACAATGTATCGCATATAAATACGCAATTGCCTATGAACATCAATTTTCTATTTGAGATCACAGGAATTTTTTCCAATAATTTTTGTGTAAAAGGCCACTCAGCCGACGTCCCAAAATTATACGTCCACCTCACGTTTATCGATTACTTTTCACTTCTGTTCCACGAAACTTTTTCATTGTGGTAACACTTCACTTCTTAAGGGAACAGCATAATAAAGACTGCTGTTGGATTTTGAGAAAGGGAAAATGTCGCAAAAACTGTTGAACAACGCAATCGCACCAGATTTGGTCCAGATTCACGCCAAGCTTGAGAATTTTTTCAGGGGTTTCACATGATATGGAGTTTAGAAGAGCTCTAAAAGTCTCTCATTACTTTTCGATGGAAACAAAGGCCGTGTTACAGAAAAAACATCCACTTTCATCCAACGGTGCTCTGTCATCGAATCTTCTTGAGAACTTTATGCCTCAACGGACTTTTGTTTCATGCATGTAAAGGAATCCCAAGATCATTCTTGATCGGAAAATGTGAAAGACGTTCATTTATGGCAAGGAATCGTGACGAAAACTGGGCTGATTTTTGCATGAAGGTGCAGCCGAGCCGACTGGAGCAGGGTCCCTTTCTCCTTGCTATGCATGAGTGTTTGTCTGTCTTTCTTTTCAACATTTTCTTTCTTTTAGTAGTGCTTCACTAAGAAAAAAGCCATTAAGGGAAAGGTAAACGTGAGAAGAAAACAAACAAATGCCAAAACATATCGGGCAGAAGCGAACCTTACTTCAGTCGGCTCGGCTGCACCTTCATGCAAAAATCAGCCCAGTTTTCGCCACGATTCCTTGCCATAAATGAACGTCTTTCACATTTTCCAATCAAGAATGATCTTGGGATTCCTTTACATGCATGAAACAAAAGTCCGTTGAGGCATAAAGTTCTCAAGAAGATTCGATGACAGAGCACCGTTGGATGAAAGGGATGTTTTTCTGTAACACGGCCTTTGTTTCCATCGAAAAGTAATGAGAGACTTTTAGAGCTCTTCTAAACTCCATATCATGTGAAACCCCTGAAAAAATTCTCAAGCTTGGCGTGAATCTGGACCAAATCTGGTGCGATTGCGTTGTTCAACAGTTTTTGCGACATTTTTCCCTTTCTCAAAATCCAACAGCAGTCTTTATTATGCTGTTCCCTTAAGAAGTGAAGTGGAAGTGAAGTGTTACCACAATGAAAAAGTTTCGTGGAACAGAAGTGAAAAGTAATCGATAAACGTGAGGTGGACGTATAATTTTGGGACGTCGGCTGAGTGGCCTTTTACACAAAAATTATTGAAAAAAATTCCTGTGATCTCAAATAGAAAATTGATGTTCATAGGCAATTTCGTATTTATATTGACACATTGTACATTGGAGACTTTTTTCAAAACATCTATATTTGTGAGATTTTGGGAAATTCTTAGGTGGACGTATAATTATGGGACGCAGTGTACGTGGAGCTGCTGAGAATTTTGTGAAAGATTGCAGACAGAGCGTAGCCACAGCTGGCGAAAATACGTCGGCGAAGGGGCTCTGTGCACAAAACACACCGCACTGTGGCCGGCTGCCAACTGGCCAAATCCTCGGCATGCCACGCGTTGCACCAGCGGTTGTATTTATAGTTCACACCTGTGAATTGGACACCAACCAGAAGTGAATTCAAGAACAAGGCAGGCAGGGGCCTATGATGGAACGGTTAGGCTCTAGGGCCGTTCTCGCGGCTGGAAAGAGCCCTTGTCGCGTACTTTCGAGTCGTAAGTTTTGCTTTTGTGGCAACTCTATCCCACTTGCGGTTTTGATTTCGTTCACTCGAGTACAAATTGTTCCTTTAATGAATACTGATCAGCCAGTCTATCTAACATGTGAATATATACGCCGATTGCATTTTCGGAAAACGAGAAGAGCGTCGAGTGCAGATCACACACCACAAGTGACGACGGTCAAGAAAAGAGAAGAAACCGCTTTTTTGGCCGTCGTCACTTGTGGTGTGTGGTCTGCACTCGACGCCTTCTCGTTCCTCGAAGTAGAGGCTACATACTGTTGTTGCGCAGTGTCTGCGCAAAGGTGCTCTTTAATATTGCCCTAAACTAGTCTTCGCTCACATATTCACTCACTCGGGCATGAAGGCTGCTCGACCTGGTGATCCCAAAGTGCCGTACGATGTGATAGAAACGTTGTGTTTCTTGCAGATCTCATGAAGCTCATAGAGGTGAGTCCAACTGGTTGCTCAAATCATGATACAGCCATACAAACAACCAGGCGACTCGAAACAGCTCTATGCTATACGAAGGGTTGTTATGAATAGGTACGGTAGCGGTTTTGAGCACACGTTCAATTTGTTCGCCATTCCAATTGGACACACCTATCGCTCTAGTCAGTCCTTTTTTGTAGACACCTTCTAATCCACGCCAAATGTCTTGAACTGTCACCGACTTGTTTTGGGCTGTCATGTCATGCTGGAAAAAACTAGAGTTTAGGGCCGTCGAGTTATGATACGGGAGGAAGACGGCAGTGTCAAATATTTCACGCCAAGTAAATTACGGTACGTTTATCACCTATGGAAAAAGTGCAAACAAGGTCGTACTATCGTTTGCGGTCTTAGGAACGTAGAAGCTGCGATCGGTTCGCCTACTATTGCGAACGATCCTCCCTTTGAGACGAAATCTGGAGTCATGGAAAGATCTGTGGGGGGTGGGTGGGGCGGTGGCGAGCGTATAAGGGGTAATTCATATAGTATGGAACACGTTTTGATTAACTTCGAGTTTTTTGTACAGCGATTTTTCTGATTGTTAAATGCTCAGTATGTAGTATCTTGACATAGCAATTAAGTATACTGGGAGGAGGAATGTGAAGAATGGAGCGGGAAAAGGTTCTCCAATCACTTTGGTGATTTCAAACTCAAAGAAACCTCGGGGCAAGATGTGGCACGCGCTGGGTGGGCGGAGAGGGCGGGGGAGTGACAAACCGTAACATTGCGTTAGATTTACGGATTTACGGAACGCTCAGTTCCATTACGAAGCCTTGGAGGATGAAAGGGACTCCGAGGTCTGTAAGCAATTATCGTTGTCTCCGAATATCAATCTCTGTCAGGCTCAGTCCTAGTAGCCCCTCCCCTTCCTACAAGCTGCCTCCCCCCCGGAGGCACATTGCGCCGGACCTTGTATTAGGGTTGCTCAGGTTTTTTCGTATTCTCTCCTATTGCACTCTTCGCAGTGCAATCCCTGGCTTGCATTGCGGTTCTTTGCTATTTAATATTGTTAATTTGCATAGATAAAAGAGAGATGTAATGAAGCGCGAGTCGTTGACAGTGTCTTCGAACATAAGAACGCTTCTAATTGTTTCTAGGGTATATAGTATTCGGCATAGTATATCTTACGCCAGCCGTTATATACGTGTTTGTTTTCCAAAGGCTAAAAAATGGAATTAGAGATAGTGCAGCAGTAAGAGACACTGCACCGTATTCCTCGATCGTATCCACAAGCTTATTGAGCCTTCTTCGTTTCAAAGTTATTTGAATAGATAACGGATCAATCGATTTAGCATGGTTTGATCGCAATAATCCTCAATATCTCCAAACAATGTACGGAGAAATTAGCAGGCAACCCCAATGACCCTACCCCTCTAGCTGGGTAGCTAACAGAGCCCAATTCATCCTTATTTAATGCACGCACCATAATCCCATAATAGTCAATGAAGGATAGAACAAAACCCTTAAAAAGCTCTGATTTCCATCAAATAACAACTACAGGCTCACAAACGTTAAGGGCAATTGCTACATGACGTTAATCCCGACTTTAGCTGTCATGGATTCGATCCTTTTTTTATAGCTGTTCATGCAAGGGACAGGAAGTCGTCACCAATAAATGGTGTAGCCCATGTGCGTATGAGGTAGAGCTTCTAGGTGCAAAGTGAAAGAGGAAAAAGCAAATCGAAGGGCATCAAAATTCAGGAAGCAGGACATTGATGTCCGCGGCACGCGAGAGGTAGGATAGGCTGACGTTTTAGATTGAAGCAATTGCGCTTAGCCGTCGAAAGTTGTAGCATTTACTATCGGCATAGCTCTGAATGAGAACAGATAATCGGAGAGCAGGCGAGATCGGGGCAGTAGAGAACAGGGAAAGCCGTACTACGCCGTACGAGCCCGGCCCTTAGGTGAAACGTTTCCTTTTCTGAATCAACAATTACTATTAGCAGAGTTTCTTTCTTTAACACCATTTTATCGTGTGGTATCGGCTCTAAGATCTGAACCGAAGCCTTATCGCAGGGTTAAGTTAAACCGTGGAGACTTCACATTTCACTATAAGGACTTAAACTTCCACAAGCATCAAAGATTGCTAGACACTTACATTGAAGCAAGTTGGCATATGGGACAGGTAAAGATCCACATAGTCCATTTTGAGTTTACGAAGAGATTCGCGAATTGCTCCTTCGGTGTCGTCCGGGTGTTCGTGTGTAATCCATACCTTAAAGAGTTTACCTTAAGGAGAGTATTAAGAATATTTTACGCGCTTTCACAGTGTATGGAGCACAATAGTATTTAGTAAGGGATACGGTGACCAAGCAGTAGCTAATTTCATCAAAGTATTCACCTTCGTGGTGATGAACAGATCCGTGCGTTTGATTTTGCCTGCATCGATCAGCTCCTTTATCGCTTCACCAATAGGCTTCTTCATTTTGATAGACTGCAGCTGTGTCAATTAGACGGTAGCCAGCCTCGATAGCAGCTTTTACGGCGGCTTTCACCTCTTCAGGAGAGGACTGAAACAAAACGAACTATTCTACAACTTCTCTCTTCTTGTAACCTCGGCATGTCAGTTGTAAGTTTGTAAAATTTCTTGTGCCTTACGAGGTTGTTGGAACATTTATTTCAGTGGCCTAACGCTTCGACTGAATCGTCGTCTTCAGAGGCCGATGGTTCCACCCTTTCAGCGGAAAGGTCCGCTGCCACAGACCGTTGGTCTCTTGCGACTCCATCCAAACCAATGGCTTACCACGCCGGCAGCTCGCTGGATTCGCAAATCCTTATGCCAGCAATAGAGCGCTCAAACGATAAGAGCGCTCAAACGATATCTTTTGGGGTTAAATCGTCAGTATCGAACTGTACTACACCGCCCAGCCCTGCGCAAAATGTTTTCGTACATCTGTGGAGTACATGAAAAATGTCAAGTTACGATGAACCCGGTCATATCATGACAAGAGCTGATAACGGATGGGCAAGAAGCATGGTAGAGGATCTCACGTTCATGATCCACGGTCCTGCTGCAAGATGAGGATTGGGGTGATGCGTACCCTAGCCACTTACTGAAGGGTTCTTCTGAAAGCTATCTGAGTCAGCTTTTGACTCAACAATGGATAGTAACGAAATACTAGAAATGGTCCGTGTTCACCACGCGCACAAAAAGTGAGGACGAGCCGTACAAGTACAAGTATCATTGCAAATGAGAGGAATGCATGGCGCATCCCAGAAAAAGAATGATGACGCCGAATGCTTAAACGTTTATCCCTTTGTTGTAGATGTAAAAGAATA